TTGGGACCGGTTCAGGATGGTCTCGAGATCGGGACCGATTGACTGTATAATTATTGCGGGGACTGTTTCTGGACCGGTCTTTTCTGGGACTAATGCAACCCTAGTATAAACAATACTAGACAATAGCAAAGTTATTAGCTAATATTTTATTAGACTATGATTTTATTAGTGAAATTTTTAATAATTTTGAACAGAACTGATTATTTCTAACCAAGTTAACTAGTAATCGAATTAATACAATTTAGTAAAAAAAATTATTGTTCAATATATCTATAATAATCTATTACTATATTTATTATATTAATTGCAGTAAATATACATTAGTATGTAAATTTGTTATATAATTATACAAGCAATTGATATTAATAATATAATTTTTTAGAATTTAATTTTATATAATGACAATATAATATATAAATTGATTGTTAGCTGCTTGTACATACAAATTTGATTGTTAGTTTGTATAAATTTGATTGTCAATTTGTACAAATTTGACTGTTAGTTTGTACAAATTTGACTGTTAGTTTGTACAAATTTGATTGTTAGTTTGTACAAATTTGACTGTTAGTTTGTACAAATTTGACTGTTAGTTTGTACAAATTTGACTGTTAGTTTGTACAAATTTGACTGTCAGTTTGTACAAATTTGACTGTCAGTTTGTACAAATTTGACTGTCAGTTTGTACAAATTTGACTGTCAGTTTGTACGAATTTGACTGTCAGTTTGTACGAATTTGACTGTCAGTTTGTACGAATTTGACTGTCAGTTTGTATAAATTTGATTGTCAGTTTGTACGAATTTAGGAGTAATTTGTACGAAATGGACTGTCAGTTTGTACGAAATTGACTGTCATTTTGTATAAAATTGACTGTCATTTTGTACGAAGTTGGTATGCAAAACCTGTATTTTAATTCAATGAATCCATAGAATTGAAATAAAAAAAATTTCATTGATTTTGAATAGATAATTATCGAAATATTCTTGTTCAAAGATTAAAAAAAATTTAATCAAAACAGACCGTTGCTAAGTTTTTTTTTTTAAACTTTGAGTGATAATATCTTGATAACTACTCATTCAAGAACAATGAATTTTTTTTATGAATTTATAGAATTAAAGTAAAAAAAAAAAAAAAAAGATTTAACAAATCTGGATGGGTAGTTTGAAAAAAAATTTTATTATTGCATTCGAATGCTTATCATTCTATCAATATTTATGTAGAAATTGTTGGGGGTAGTTTCTATATCGATACCCTAAAAAGTATAGTTACCAGTTACCGAGTATTTAATAGTCAATATTTGATTTTAGCCAATCAGAATTCTTGGTGATCTTATTAAAAACTTACAGGCACTTAACACAATTTTTCTCCTTAATTATACGTATCGAAAGTTAGCTATTAACCATGACAAAATATGTCTCGAAAGGTAATATTTTTTTACACTTAATCACTTCTTGGGAACATATCAGATATTAGTTATATCAGAGGGTGGACAAAACCCTGGTCTGATATATTCATACGATGAACACTCTCTAAGTGCACACTGAATTTATAAACTCGTGCACTTGGAAAATTTATTCGCGGCATTTCTGATATAATATATTATATTAATATGATAATATTTGATCGGTTAACTAAATCAACTACGCTTATAGAATGAAATGTGCACTTAGAGAGTGTACACTTAGGTATTCATATAACCAAATAGAAGGGAATAAATATCTCATTAGGGGAAGTAAGTTTATAATAAATTGATAGCTACGTAATTATCTGGTATGCCCCTTAACAATTCCAATTCCAATTCCAATAATTTATATAATTTTTTTTCTAAATGATAGATGGTGCCGTACGTGAAGGAAGACCAGTCACAAGAGTAGTTAAAGACACATTTTGGTCTATCTATTTTTTTATCTGGTTCTTTTTTAAAACTTTATTTTCGGTACCGTGACAAATTTTTTAAAATATTCAATCAAACCACTTTCTTTCGAGTGACTAATTTAAATATGATAGCCTAGAGCAGCTGATAACATGAGAAATGGCGACGTTAGAGGAGGTGGTGGTGGGTCCAAAATAGGGTCACAACCCAAATCTTATTCCCAATGACAATATTATTATGTAGTTTGAGTTTGAGAATCGGGATTTCTATTTCATTTGGGATAATGGTCAAAACCTATATGTCCTACATTTTCATTTCAAATTTAAAAATTTTGAAAGTAATTTAGCGACTAAGTAGGATTATATCTAATAGTTAAATTTGAAAAGTTTCTGACAGAGGTGTGATCCGGATTTTTTTTTCATATGTAAAAACCGGTTTGATATACTGACAATTTTTAAAAAATAGAAACCTAATAAAAAAAAAACTGACACCTTATAAGTTACCGTTACGTAATCTTCCAATGGTAAATGAAGAATTCGTACGTAGTAAATTAACACAGAATCCATAAAAGCAAGGGCTAATGATTAGTGATGAGTATGTATAAAATTGCCAATCACATCGGGTCAATACCTTATCGAATATGAGCTATGCAAATTTCTATGTGTTCTGTATTTATTCTGTACTTTATTTTTATTTGGATATTAGTTAATAAAAGCTGCTAATTCCGCATACATAATCACGGTTACTTTTGCGTTTGTATTTCGCTGCGCACATCCGTAATCTGTGACAGGTTACGCCACTAATGTCCGAGAACTGAACTAAATCATAATAAAAAATCATTATATTTACGTGTTAGATAAATTCAAGATTCGATATAACAAAAATGGAATCCCTGAATATTTTTTCTTAATGATATTAGTCGAGAATATACAAGTTTACGAATAATGATATAAAGGAAAGGAGAATTCAGCTCAAGTTATCTTCATTCGAAAAATGTAAAAAAAGTATTAGTTAAGTAAATTGAACAATTAGTATGGTTAAAGAAATAATATCGTTTTGCTTTGCTTAAAGTAAATATAATATGCTGAAGAAATTATAAAGATTTACATAGTATTTTAAAAATTAGATGTTTTTTTATACGTATAATATTAAATAGGTAACTTTTTAATTTACGTACATATAAGTTTTTAAATTCTAAATTCAGGCATTAATGCGAAATTTAATGTATTATACGTATAATTTCATAAATATTTTTTATTAGAATACTAAAAATAGCATAGTTTATAACAGTTTTTAAGCTTGATACTTAGAGAAATCAGTTCAATTTCTTAAACTACATCCCTGTGATGCATCGAATGATACCTCTCTTAAATAAATTTCAAAGCAGGAAACTATCAAAATAGTTTGAATGTCTAAGATAGAAATATGTTATTAGGTTGTCTTTTCCAATTTCATACGTATTGGTAACAATATCTGACATAATGATAAATCATTTTGCCAGCATTTCTATTTTTAATAAATACGTACAGTACGTATCATCAAAAGCCATTCTAATACGTAGCATCACTAATCTATTCAAAATCGAAATATTTACTGGATATCCTAGTGCTAGGATTATTACTTACGACCCAAATTTTGATCGATTTGCTAAATGGTAGGTTGTCCAGAGACTTTTCTTTTTTGTATGCATTAGCCAATCATATCAAAAAATTCATTATTGGAAAGCGAATTTTCTTAAAATTTACTTTCGTATTAACCCTTATTCATTATTCAGCAGATCGTTTGTTACTCGAAAATATTAGAGTATTTCACAAAAAGGTGATAACACTGCTTAGAATAGTTTATCTTATATATATAATTACGTCATAGATAACGATGTATCGAAATCGGCCGATAACAACAAACAGCCAATCAGATTTCAAGATCAGGTGTGACGCATAAGCTTAACATTTACATAACTGAAATTTTAGTACTACGTACGTACTAACAGCAAAATTTTTTAATGGCCAGCATTATGTTGAATTATGCTGAACACGAAGATCATTCCTGAAAAATATGTTAAAAAAATGTGTCAGGGACATATAATACGTATAAAAACAGGCTAACACTAATTCTACTTAATTCTACTTAATTCTACGTAATGCTACGTAATTAGACAAATAGTTCATCCGGAAAATTTGGACTGCACCCTGATGCTGTTATCGGCCGATACGTTAACGTTTGCCTATAAAACTACCCTTTTCATTTTATGTCTTGCGAAATTTTGGATTAACTATCGCTTACCCGAACCTAGGCCTTTTAACTGACTACTACTGATTATTTTTAAAAAAACATTGTTTTGATTTAATTGGAGGATGACGATGCATCACACTGACGATGAAATCTTTTAAAAAAAAAAAAAAATTATTTATCTTTATTATGCACGTACGTATTAGTTATTAGTTATTATCCTGGTGGCGCCACTATGTTATTCAACAATTCGTATACTATTTTTAGTATATACGTAGTTAATACGTACGTACATATGTACGTATATTAAATTAAAAAAGTGGTTCATGTGGCTCTTTGATTTATATCAATTGACCAAGATGTTTGATAAAATTTTTTAACTTGTTTGTAAGTATATGCTGTAGAAATCTGTAGAAATCACTCGCCACGCCTTTGTCGTTAAGCTTTAAATAGAATAGTAACTTAAATGCCCTAAGATTTTCTGTTGACTAACTGAGTTAAGAAATTTTAAAATACGTACTTACATACGTAACGTTTTACGAGCTATGACTCATTGATTAATTGATCGATGTGATTGATAAGTATTGAACTACATATATACAGATATACAGTACACAGTATTATATAAATTTATAAATGTACAAATGTATAAATAATTGCGTAATGTAAAAAATATAAAAAGTTCTGGCCCAATAGAAATTTTTATTCTATTGTCTACCATCGTTTTTTCAATATAAATTTGTTGACTCCTTCAACAATCCATCTTATTAATCTAAGTCAATCCCCAAGGTTATTTTTTACAAAAAAAAAAAAGTCTAGTCAACAAGTTTTATCGAGGCATAGATTCTCAACGCTCGCTTTATCTCTAATAACTCGTTAAAGTATTAACCGTAGCTTTTTATGTCCGCGATCCAAAACCTTCAAGTTTACGGTAAGTTATAATTATAATAAATTCATGTCATAAAATATATTTCTGATTTGCTCACATATCACATAGATCCTTTCGCTGATACCGGTGAAGACGACGCTGGACCTCAAGGGTATATTCGTATCCTTTTTATTTATTACTTTATTTTTTTGCTTATACTTTTACGAGGCTCATCACCTTAGATGAGCCTAGTTTTATGTAACAATGAAAGCCCGTCAAAAACTGCTAAAGTTTTTATGGAAACTTAGGAATTCTGTTTTTTTATTAAGAAAAAAAAAAAAAATCCTTGATTCCGAATTTTTATGTTACTTGCAGATATTCGTATACAACAGAGAAACGGTAGAAAGACTTTGACTACTGTACAAGGTCTTCCAGTTGAATATGATCAGAAAAAATTGTTAAAAGCGTTTAAAAAGGTTGGTTTGAAATTTACAAAACATATTTAAGAATAATTATATTTATTTATTCACCTTACATATTTTCATTAAATTAGGAATTTGCTTGTAATGGTACTCTTGTACAAGATGAAGAACTCGGTCAAGTGATTCAACTTCAAGGGGACCAACGAATTAAAGTTCAAAACTTTCTCGCAGAAGAAGGGATCGATAAAAAGATTATTAAGATCCACGGTTTCTAGACTTTAGAAGCAAATAGAGGCTCTAACGTTCTACAGGATACGTTCCAAGAGCCCGCACTGAAACCGACCAGTATTTTCATTTTCATTGTGTTGAACATATTTAATCTTACGATGGTGTTTGTGTAATATGACAAGTGTAAAAAAAAATTTGTTTTTTTTACAGTAGAATCAAAATAGTTTTATTAAATATTTTTGCGAATAAAAAAAAAATTATTAATTATATATATTTAATAATGAAATTCACGCAATAGAGTTTCGTAATACTTGTATTATAATGTTTGGACTAAAATGACTGTATCATTTTAGATATTTAATTATTTTTTGTACCTACATATGGTATAATTAAATGACTATCCATTTAGGCTTGTATTAACAGCCAAAAAAAAAAAATCTTTTAGTAAATTAATATTACAGTGTCGTTGCGAAATACTCTTCAAGGTGTTATATTAAGACAATTTAAAGAGAGCTAAGAATTAATTTAATCGAAGATCTGGTTGAAAAAATGTTTTTTTGGCAGGTTTAGTTCTTAGCTTTCTTTAAATTGTATGCAAATACGGTAAAGTAATTTGACGAAATTAGTGTTTTCATATGAGATATATCATTTTACATCATGGATCCTACACAAAACGGTCAAGTCGTTTACAATGATAATTAAAATTTAAGACAAGGTAGATTTTAAAGAATCGAGATTATATCGAATCCAGTGCTCGATTCTCGCACTAGAAGTCGAATGATGAAAAAATCACTTGAACACAATTGCTGAATAGTTTATTGGAGTATTGTGAGAATCAATATAAATTGATATTATAACAACCTACTAATTCCTTTTAATGATACGATTATTGTATTTTAACGTTAATTACGTATGAGGCTATTAGCATCATCAAATCAAAAATCAACTGATTTTTTTTAATGATCTGTATGATTACAGAATTTTGCAAACCGCAGTAACATACCCGGTAACTGACTTTATTGACGCAGTGCCATATTTAAGGCTAATGTGGATAATTAGAATGGCAGTGTATAAAGTTGTTATTATTATATAATTATGCAATAAAAAATATTTTTTAAAATTGTAATACGTATAATTGATTGTTTAAATTTATTGAATTTTATTATATTATTTATATATTTGGATCAGAAATTTATTTGAAAATAATATATATTTTTTTTTAGGTTTGATCATTTTTATTTGGAGTAATTTTAATTTTAATATTTAAAAATGTCCAAATTTTGTCCATAAACTGTTCCGTGAAATCCCTAGTTTGAAGCAATAATTAAAATATTTATTTAGAAAATATTAAATATTTAAATAAATTTGAATAATTTTTTTTAATATTTTTAATATTTTAAGAAATCTAGTGTTTAAATTTTATTTTCTATTATTAAGAATATTATTGTAAAGTAAAAGGGTTTACTTTACTGCATTAGAAAAAATAGATTAAAAATATAATTAAATTTAATTGTACTTAAAAAAAACAAAGTAGGTTTAATTTTTTTCAAATAATTAATTTTAATCAAATTTAAATTACAATATATATTAAAATCATTTTTGAAAAAGCTTTATAGATGGATTTGATAATTATAAAATAAAAAATTATATTTTTAAATATTAATATATTAACTTATATGTAACTTGAAAAATTAAAATAAATCTAAATTTAATTTTTTTTTATTAAAAAATTAAATACAACAAAATTATTTTTATATAATATAATAATTATATAATACAGTATATTACAAATAAACGTTTTTTATGTTTTAATTGATTTTTTTTATTTATATAATATTATAATAAAAATTTAATTACAAAAAAAAATTTCTAAAATAAAGATTTTTAAGTTATATATATTTGTATTACTAAAAAAATATTTAATATAACATTATATCTTTTATTTTCTAATAAGTATTATAGATAATTATTTTAAATTATTTTTTTAACTAGAATAGTTTGAAAAAAATCTTAAATAAAAGTTAAATCATTATATAAAACATGTAATTATAGAGAAGTTTTGTAAAAGTCTTTGATAATAGAATATGTAATGTTAATAAGTTATATAAGGTTTAAAAAATTGTTAATAAAAATAAATATTGTAAAAAAATAAATTTTTGTATATTTAGATTTAAGAATTATATTTTAAAAAAGTTCCTATTGATGTTAAAATATATTGCATATAAATCATAAATCTTAATACTAAATAAAAAAATTGTTAACAAGATTAATTAAAAAATTATTTATTTGTTTGTTTAAAAAGATTTTAATATTATTATAAATTATTATAAAAAAATATTAAATATATAAAATATATAAAATATATAAAATTAATTAGTAGTAAGAATGTAACAATCTAGTAAAATAATCAGATTGTTAACTCTTCAAATGATAAGTTGAGTGTTCAAATCTTATTAGCAGCAAAAATTTAAATAATTACCTATATAGTATTCATAGTATGATAACTGTTATTAACAATTAAGTTAGAATATCTGCAATAATAATCACACTAGCATAACTGACAAGTTATGAGTCATCTGTGTAATTAGTTACATAAAAAAATACAAACTGACAAATCAAATGATGCAAATATTAGATAAATTTTTATAACTATATAAATCTGTTAAAATTAAATAACAAGAAGTCTATTTAAAAAAATCTGAGTAGAAAGATAACCAAATCTTCAACAGTTTTACTGTAAAGATTAATCTGAAAAAACAAATATCAAAGTTGTAGTATTCAGTCATAGTACTTAGATAGGCAAGAACCTTTAGGTTGAAAGTCTTAGAAGTATTACTAATTAGGTTACTAAAATGAATCAAAAAAAAAGATATCAGACTAATCTGATATATCAATAAACTAGTTGTAGTTCTATATAGCTATTTGGATTAGAAATTTGATAAAAAGGTAGGTAAAAAGGCAAAGATATACTAAAGTACTAGAATTATACTATAAAGTAGATGCTAGAGTCTGTGTGAACTTTATAAAGATATAGAAGTTAAATAATATAACTCTGTTTGCAAGTATTAGTTCTATCATAGTAATATTTAAATCAGCTATAAAAATGAATACAAAAAGCTCTGAGAGGTTTATCTTGAGGATAAAATAGTTCTAAGGTTGAAATAATGATCTGGATATTTGAATATAACTTAGTAAAATTAATACAGATTGCAGGTTTAGAGGATTTAAAATAGAACATCCAAGCAGGAGTATTAGATATAACAATTGGTAAAGAACTTTTGGATAAACTCCTTAAATAAGTAATATAAAAAAGTTACATATATAGCTAATTGTATGTTCTTCTGTAGTAGTTCATAGAATCATATTACCAAAAAAGTCATTAATAAAAGTTAAAAAACAAAAAGATCACCTTAATATCAAAAAAAAAATTTAATTAGTAGTCTGAGTTAGTAAAATTAATTATAAAATTTATAAATATATTGAAAATAGATAATGCTAAATTATTAAATATTTAAAAATATAATAACCTAATAAAGTGGATAAGTTGTCAATTCCCAAGTGAAAAATCTAAAGTTTAATTTTTATAAACAACAAAATTTAAAAATTATATTTATATTATGATAGCTGTCTTTGTTAATCAGTTAGATTTAGATATCTGTAATTTTAGATATACCAAGTTGGGTTCTACTTGATATTGAAAGCTTAGAGTATATAAAATATAATATTATATATATATAGAAAAATGTAAAAAACCAATATTGCATGAGGCTTTAATACAAATTTGTGATAAGATCATTAGACATAAAAGACTAAAAAAACTAAGAAAACAGAAGCCTACTTTGAAAATCTTAAGTAAAGAAATAATATAAACTTTTAATAATACTATTAAACTAATAAAATCTTATGAAATACTTTTAAAAGAATTGTTAAATAAACTGAATAACAAATATGTGAAAAAAGTATATATACCAACTAGACTACTAGAATTACTAAAGGAAAAAAGATACAGAAATATATTATACTAAGCTATCTGAATTGATAGTTTGAAAAGTCCTATTAGTTCTAAGTAGCAATTAGTAAAGAAAAATGAAGATAACATTAGAAAGATAAGTATTAGGATTTGAATAAACTTTACAAAGATAAAAATAGTTTAATAAATAATTCTGACTGCAAATATTAGTTCTGATTATAATAAAAATCAAATTAGTGATAAAAAAAGAATACAACTCACTTTGGTAAGTTTGTTTTGAGAATAAAAATAGTCTAAGAATTATATAGTTTTAAGATTAGAATAAGGATTTGGATACAAGTAACCTGATGAAGTTGAAACATCTAAGCAGATATATTAGATATAATAACTAGTAAAAATTTTTAAATAAACTTTTTAAATTGATAATATAGAAAAGTTATACATGTAGCCAGTTATATACTTATCATGATATCTAACAAAAGTATTAATAAAGTTAAAAAATCAAAAAAATTACTTTAATACTAAAAAAAAAAATTATTAAATATTTAAAAAAAGATAAGTATTAATTGAATTATATTAAAATTTTTTTTTTTAATCTTAAGCAGTTATGCTAGTACTTTATTAAGATTCTTAAAATTATATACATTTATAATTATATAGAATTTTCCAATACTCAAATCTAGCATTACTTAGCTACCCTATTGGTACCTAAGTGCAACTTGTTGCACTATCTCAGTTAGAGATAAACTACTTATCTAACTACTTAAAGCTATACCAGAAAGGTCTTCCCCTTTTAGTAACAAGTATATTAATTGTTTTTCAAGCTTCCTTCTTTATTTAGTTTATTTTTTCACTTTTTTTTCTTTTTTCATTTTCTTTGTTAACTTATTTTTTATTATTTTTTTCTCTAACCTTCTTTTAGTTTGAGCACCTTTTTTTATTTTGTTTGTTATATTAATTTTCTTTTTCATTCTTGTACTTTTTCATATCAAACTCTTCATACTTGGTTATAAAAAGTATTTCATACTGTTCTTGTTACTATATCTATGCATTTCTGTGTTGCTTGTCT